AATACAAAAAGTTTCCCAAGATATGCATACTCAAGAAAGGTAAGGAATCATGCATAGTTTGGAGTGAGTGAGTGACTTTTAGCCATTTTTCAGCAATATTGCAGTGGGGGGACACCAGAAATGGGCTTCACACATTGTACCCACTTGGAAAAGTGAACCCGGGTCTTTGGCATGACGAGCAAACGCATTAACCACTAGGCTACCCCATTGCCCTGCAGGCTATTTTTATGAAACTGTGTGTGCTCTGTTTTCAATATAAAAGAATGACCCAAAATATTCATGATCCCTTTACCCTTTTTTGTTCAGTATAGTATATCATTAGAAAAACAATTATCCTGAGTATCATACTGACATTCTATCAAGACAATACTATGGACCTATTTGCGACCATACCATGTTCTCACTTAGCAGAGAATTAGTCAAACCGTTCAATCTACAAACAATAAATATTCCGCTGTAAACTCAAGTTCAGCATGTGTATAGCTTTAAATGAGTCCATTTGATTTAATCAGAAGAATGTTGGAAACGTTTATGCCACAAGACATTCTTGGCGTATCAGGGGTAATATTGTGCTGTGCTGTGCTATTCATTGTTAGCTCTATGAGAATACCTAGTGTGGAGCTTGGTGCTATATAAATGAACACATATTATATTATTGTATGTGAAATAGCTGAGTAAGGATGAGCTGAACACTAGTGCTGATATTGGCATACAACCTGTGATACCATATGAATCACGATACAAGGGTGGTGATATGATACGTATCATGATGCTAAAATCTTTAATTCTAACACCGACTAAAAAACACCTTAAGATATAAAAAAAACTATTTAAAAGTATTTCGTCAAATTCCACCAGCAGTTTTCAATGTTCATTCGGAAATGAGATAATTAAGTTTATACACAGACTTTGTGAATGTTAATAAAATGCGAGCGCTATGTTTTACACAGTTCTTGGCACAAGAATTTCCGAGAAACTTATGAAGGGAAGATAAGTATACATATATTTTAATCATCAAACAAAGGTAAGTCTTTCTTGACACTATATCGAGATTCGGCAATATTCAATGTAAAACATCTATGTATCGTGACCCATTTGAAGTATCGTATCGGGATATATGACAATGTAAAACTTTGTATCGATTCACTGTATCGGCAGCACATGGATAGATGCATCGATGCGTATCGATGAATCGCACACCACTACTGAACACTGGTGATACATAAAGTTCCGCATGTTTCAATCATAAAGCAACTAAGTAATTTGACTGCACAATGATGTGTCATAATACTGGTGCATAAGTGGGGCAGCAATTCTCTGTATCATCATCATCATCATCGAAGGTGCAACAATTCGTTCACTGTGTTGAGTTGCATCTCTAAGGTATGCCACAAAACCATGCACTGTGGACTTTACCATATTCGTACACATCTGAGAGCTGCATCACTTTACTTTGGACTTTACTGACATGCCATGATATAACTAGAATTGGACTTTACTGACATGCCATGATATAACTAGAATATTGTACAACGCAGTGTTAAACCCAACACACTGACCCACTGTGATGCAGTAGAGACTGGTGTATACTTCATGTGGAAATGAGTGGTAGCAAATGATTGAAGTGCCAGTAAAATGCCAATTGCTAAGTTTAAGATTCAGAGTTATTGCCCTTTTTACATGAACATGGCAGATATTCTGGTTACAACGCTGAATGACCTTGGGACGCGATCACAATGGTTTTACGTCACACAAAGTATCAAGCTCAAATGCACTATCATGCAGTCACAGGCATTCAAATAGGACTGCTCACAAGTTTCATCCAGAAATGTTGCGCAACCCTCATTTTCAGTTAAGTCCACATTGTCTTCATGAAAATATATAAAAGCAAAAGAAACCCCTTAAAATCCAAAATCACCAAAAGGCACCACAACAATGCAAGACTGATCTGTACAGTAAGTTTCCTCCTGGAACATTCAACTGTTTGGGAGTTATGCTCCAGAATAATGCACAACTATAACATTCAGGATAATACTAACCTGTCATTATGAAAAAAATATAGAAATAAAAGAAGTAAAAATCCCAAATCATCAAATGTTCACCACTAGCCTGATGTGTGCAATAAGTTTAAGTCATTCTACAAGAAATAGTCAATGGTTTCAGAGTTTTACAAGTCATGCTTCAGAAATGGAAAACAAATGGCAACCAGATGGACAGACAGACAAGCTAATCACTATATCCCCCAATTTTTTAACCAAGAGGATTAAAATGACATAAACAATTTACTTAAAATACAGGTAGTTTATTGTCCTACCTCAGTGTCGGTATACCTTGGGTCCCTGAAGGTTAGTGTGTCCGCTATGCTCTAGTTTTAATTAAGGTGTGTACGAGGGAGGCAGTAGACTAACGCTTAGTCTCTGAATATATAATTTTGATTGTAACAAATAAACCCAATTAAATTGAAAAGGAGCCAAAGGCAGACCAGAGATCCTGTGGAAATCTAGACTTGCTTCATTTAGGACTTTAGCACTGCAGGGAGGGCTAGGCAGTAGGGAAAATAATGTGGTTCAGGGACTGTGAGACGGGCTAGGGAGGCAGGTGAGAGACTGCTTGGGCCATCTTAATTCACACAGCCCATCAAACATCTCTAACTGAGGGTGTTTAATTTCCAGATGTCCAAAATGTCATGCATACCAAGAAGTAGATTGCGCAAGAAACTCACATATGGGTCAGAGTGTACTTTATTAGACAGGTGAGACTCACAGGTAGATATCGTCAGCACAGGGGAATTGTTCCCATTGTTTCATGGGTGTTCAAAGCTAGAATCCCAAGATGCAGAAAACCAGCAACAAAATTCTTTCATGGTTATATCTAAATGAACTTTTGAACAATACAATAGTATAATATAAACAATATACAAAATTCTGCTCAAACACTTAGCAATGTTATCCAAAAAGATTGTCTGGCCTTTGGACAAAAAACAAATTTTCATTTCACATCAGCAATATAACAGGTTTGAATGCTTTCATTATTGTCTTAATATAAGGAGTGAGTGAGTTTAGTTTTACACCACACTCAGCAATATTCCAGCTATATGGCGATGGTTTGTAAATAATCGAGTCTGGGCCAGACAATCCAGTGATCAACATCATGAGCATCCGTCTGCGCAATTCGGAAACGATGACATGTGTCAACCAAGTCAGCGAGCCTGACCACCCGATCCCACTAGTCGCCTCTTATGACAAGCATGGGTTACTGAAGATCAATTCTAACCCAGACCTTCACAGGTCTTAATATAAGGAAGGAATTAAGGCACACTTGAGCAAACTACACAATATATAGGCCCCTGCTTACAGCCAACTTGTCTTCATTGCCATTAAGCTACTTTAATAACTAAATAAGTTAAGGTTAAGGAGCATCAATACATGTACAGTCATCACCATAACTCGTGTCTTGGGAGTCCATGTACAACAGGAACACTCTCATGCAGCGCCGCGCTACACACGCATGCACGCACAAGCACACGCAGCACGCACCACAGGCAGAACGCAGGCACGCAGGCACGCACACCCTCGCATTATTATGAGATTTGTTTGAGTGGCATTTTTAGAAGTTGAGATGTACAATGAAGAAAAACTTTATGGATAACAACTTGTATATTTTTCATTTTAAGACACCATGTTAAATGTAATACAGAATAAAGGAATATCATATTTTCCATGTGCATTGCATAACTGCTATGTTGTGTATTGTGCCCAGTCAAAACTATGTCGTAAAGTCAGAAGTGAACAAACAAACCTTGTTAATTGAAATAGGAAACTTTCACTCAAACATCACCAGATGTGATATTTTAATTGTCGATCTTAATCCCTGCAAATAATACAATGCCCAGCAAAAACAACTTGTAACTTAAAAGGTAAATAATCTTGTCTAGTGATGTTTAATTGCAAATGTGACGTCTCTACTGACAAATTCGTCTTCTGTTGTTTTCACGCGAAGTGATACGATGTTGTTTTCTTACCCCTGGAAAAAAGTTTGACGAAAGCGTAACCCATGGATAAGACGACCCCCTTCTACAGACTGCTTTTTTTGGTCCTCAAAATTCGGCTTATAGACGGTCATATACAGTAATATGGTACCTGTTATTCAACAAAGTCGGAAACAGCTATCCAAAAATATAACTTCAATGAATTTCTGTTCCATTAACAAAATATTCATATCTTAAGCAGTTATTTCAACAGAGATAATATATATTGCTATTGTGTTAGGCTGCTAGCATAATACAGTTTTACATACATATTTAATACAACATCTAATATACTAGGCTCAGAGCCTTGCTTATGTAGCTGGATACATGTTACGTATGGGACAGTTTGACAAGTCACAGTTGACTTCCAGTGGTACATACCACTTTGATCACAAAGTGAAAATGTTTTAGTCTTAGATACTATTCCACTTTTGAAAGGGATATAATTTTCTTCATATCTAACTATCCTTATCAAAAGTTGAGTAATATGCATTTAGTTCAAATTTTCTAAAATATAATCAGATGCTACACCAACACAACTGCTTTTTAACATGGATCTGTTACTTCTTGTCACTCTTGACAAAGTAATCATGTCCTGCAAAGTGTTATCTCAAAATTGTTGTCACGCTGACATTTTGCTTTGTAAACTGGATTTGTACATTTTTGTCTTTTATACAAACTAATCTTCAATATAGTAAACAAATTCCATTAATTTGCTGTGAGCTGATGCACAACCTGAATCTTGTGAAAGGAATTAGTGAATATAAATAACCCTGACTCCATACAATTGACTGCTAACATGGTATATAGTCCAGGGTCCCAATATTCATGGCACAATGAGTGAGTGAGTGAGTGAGTGAGTGAGTTGGGTGTAATGCTGCTTTTAACAGTATTCCAGTGATATCATAGAGTGTCAGCTTGGCAATGGTGAAGTTCTTCTGTTCTGGGAGTGGTATATAGTTAGTTATCTTACCTGTACTTGTTTAGAAGGGTAAACCGCAGCTGACTTCTTCACTGGGGCAGCCCTGGTGGTTGGCTGTAATATAAACAGTGTTGTTCATTAACAGGATATAAATAGTTTATCACAGTCTTGATCACTAGTGCTAGAAGTAGGCCTACACATTTCATAGTAAAAGTAAAACTCCCATCATCCTTCAGGAGTGAGTGTGCAAAGGGCCCGTAACTGTGTAAAACAATAATAATGTCTGGGATCCCTCATCCCATTTAGTTCCTGTGTCCCTCCCTCGCCCCATTTCGTTCCTGTGTCCCTTGCCCATTTCGTTCCTGCATTCCTCAACCCATTTCGTTCCTGTGTCCCTCGCCCCCATTTCGTTCCTGTGTCCCTTGCCTCATATGGTGACGTACCATATGTCTGTGGCTTGATCTATGCCTATTCCAAAGAATTTATTAGTTGTCATTTTCCATGATGCTCTCTATATCTTCTGGGTTGTAAAATGGAAGGATCTCTAAGTCAAACATGCAAGCAGTCCAGTCAACGCCAAGTGGATTCAGGATTCAGATTAGTTGCTCTTTACCTCAACACACTGCTCATAACCTCGCAGCAGTGGTCATGCAGAGAGACACCTCTTGAAAACTGAGACTTTGCTGACTTCATATGGTCCATTTCTGGTGTTGATATGATGGAATATTGCTAAACATGGCGTAAAACCATACTCACTCACTCACTCATTTATATGGCACTTCACCTGGTTGACACTCATTTCTGTACAGTACAGCAGTACAGGACCATTAAGAAGTTGTTGTTTTTATTGTTCTTTAATACTGCAGTCTGCAACATCACTGCTAGGTTCAAAGCTAGGACAAGGTTATTCCAGATCTAAGCTGGAATACTCACGTCACAGATACTGCTGACTCAGCATTGAACAATATTCACCTGCTCACACACATCAAAGACTGTACATGTTCTTACACGGTACACTATACCACACACATCTTATTATCAAACCAGATTCAAGAAACAAAATATACCAGACCCATTTTCACACAGCACAAACGTTGCACTATGATCATCAGAAGTGTATGTTAAGTTACAGGAGCTACCATACTCCTTGCGCTACTGTCCCTTTGTGAACAATTCCCAGATTGTTAACCTGCTGACCCCAATTTGAAAGTCATGTACCGTTAATCTGAGCGTCATATATAACTGATAGAGCACCACAAGCGTATCCAAAAAAGGCTGGATTATTAAGCCCATGAGATAAGATGGGTCTATGTTCTGCAGTATGCATTAACCTGCTTTGATAACTCCACTTTTTGCAGGCAAAAGAAACTTGTTTAACACACATCATGCTGCCTACAGACTCCAAGGATCAGGTCTGGTTTGTTACAGACGTCAAAACTAACATGTCTCCTTGAATTGTCAGTCTTGTACCCAATGGCTGGAGCTGCTTCTGTGTAAAGGTCATCCTCAGAGACTACACACAAAAGATCTTTACTCTGTAGATGGTGTCCCTGCGTGTGTGACTGCACATGTGATTTATGGAAAGATTTCTGTTTTGTTCTCAGACCATTCAATGTCAAAATAAGAAGTTCTCAAACAAACATGAATTGTTTCCTAAATATTGTTGACATTTAAAAATAAATTTGAATTTCCTAGCTCAAATATGTACAGTTTATTTTCTGCTCAAATTTAAAAAATTAAAATTTCTGTTTACTTGGAACCATAACAGCATTAGTCACAGACCCTAACACCTGGCTACTTCAAAACGGGGAGGAAAACGGAAACGGTAGAAAAATTACCTCGTTCATATCTCTGCATACTTGGGAGACAGACAACCAACTCAATTTTCTTCACAGATCTAACAATTAAAATAGCATAGCATATGCATGTTTTCAAACACATTCAGTGGTATTATCAACTTGGAAAGAGCATATCAATTATTAAAACATGACTAATCTTTATGTTTTGTACACAAGCAACAAGTCATTTCCTAAAGTAATTAAAAAAATAAAGTTCTTATGTTTCCTGTAATTACGAAATGAGCTGAATCATCAGATTTAAAAGCATGGTAGCAAGTATGTTTCTCTGCTATGGAACGAAATAACACAAACAAAAAACTTTTGACTTTTTGCAGATTCCTACATGTATAAGCAATCTATCTGATAGGGAGTTTTTTAGATTTCCTGTAATTAGAAAAATTAAAATAAATTAGCAGATTTATCTGCAAAAAGGATCTTGTCCCACATTTGTGCTTCAAACACAATAAACAAATCCAGAACAACTTGAGATTTCACAGATTTTAGAGCTATTTATCATTTCCTGAACAAATCTGAAGTGTGTGATTCTTTGCCTTAAACAAAACATCATGTTAGGAAAATAGCATTCAGAGTGATGTGGACCATCTTGAAGCTGGATGTATAGGCATGAGCTTACAAAGGGGCACCTGTCTACATGTATATATACCACAATCAACAGATACACTGATAACCAAATCCCTGCTATAGTCTGTTTGCAGTGAAAACATACCGATGAATTTCACTTTAAACAAAAAAGTAAATCAAATAAAGTGAAATAAATTGCGACTCCTCATAATTTTACCTTGCCAATTCAACATTTAAATCTCAGAATTTTATTCAACATAGGATAAAAGTTGTTTAACAAACGATCATAGATTCAAATCGCTATTATTGGTTTGTATTACAAGGGGGTAAGCGCAGTAGCTGGAACAGTGAAACAAATGCATGTGCGGTACGTGATGAGCATTAACTTAGACCAACCCTACTTGTGCTCAGTGTTTCATTTAATGTGTATACCCCTTTGTAATACAAACCAATAATAGCGATTTGATCGTTTGTTAAACAACATTTATCCTACTAGAATCTGAACTTTACTGAGAATGTGAAATCCCAAATATAACATGCATTACAAATGCCTGTTTAACTTGAACTATGTGGAAAAAAACCCACCCAAATATTCTGAAGCTCACCTGAATTTTCCTGGAACAATATAATGGATCATAAATGACAAATACAGAAACAGAGAGGAATGGACAAAATTGAAATTTTCAATATGGCTGTGGTGGCAGCCATGTTTAAATGTGGAATTGTATGAGTTTTAGCAACAACGTGTTGGGGATCATCGATGCTGAGTGTCTGAAATATTCTCACTCATGTATGTTTTTGTGTGACAAAACTTAAATAACAGATATCTAATCATTGTCCAATCAGTCAGTTGTTCAAAAAGGTACCAGGCAAAATCTGTCAATCTTCAACATATCATTTCCTTTCATTATGAAAAGAGTTTTAAAGTAGTGAGTGTCTTTAGTATTACGCTATATGGCAGCGATCTGTAAATAATCGAGTCTGGACCAGACAATCCAGTGATCAACAACATGATCATCAATCTACGCAACTGAGATATGATGACATGTGTCAACCAAGTCTGACCACCTGATCCAGGTAGTCACTTCTTACGGCAAGCATGGGTTACTGAAGAACAATTCTAACCCGGATCTTCACAGGTCTTTTAAAGTAGTGACACAAGCGTGCAATATCTAAAAACCTAATGTGTAAAAATAGTGCAATGGCTTTGGTCCGATTTTGAAGTTCTAAATGGACTAAAGCATGAAACTTTGCAAAGTTCTAGGGAACATCATGATAAAACATATTTTTGGTTGTGCCCAATTTTGGGGCCTATCTTGCTGAAGAACTATAAAAAATCTTCATTTGTTGAATATGTGAGATATATTCGCCGTTCAAAGGGCTATTTCTAATACTTTCAAGAAATGTAACAAACAAGATTTATGTTTAGCAGTAAAAGATATAATTCATCATACAATTAATGAAAAAGTTACTGTTTTGATCAGTCACATGATATCATTTTGTCAAACATCGATCCTTGTGATTTTGAAGTCTCCTTTAACAGTTCCCATTGCAGTTACAGAGCGATGTGTATAGAAGTTGGGAAGATTTATAAATGCACTTCTTTGAGCATAGAGGTTGAGACTTACAGCCACATTTGATAAGTTCTCGACAACCTCGTGAAGCTTCTGGCAGTGTCATCCACACCGTCACCATGAGTTGTCGTCCCTTGTCCAACCAAACAAATCTGGCACTGGTGGTTTCTGTTAAACAAGTTAGCCATTTGCTGACCTGTTACCAGCTCCTGTTTGTGTGCTGTAGCACATCATCCTGAGTGAGAGGAAGGTACTGCATCAGATGACCTTTCGGCTGTGGCAGAACATCTCTTGTCACAGTTCGTTGACTATGTTCACTGATGTAGTGCTGTCAGACATGATGCATGTGAATCACTCAAGTGATGAAAACACTCCTGAGTCTTTGTCCACAGGTTGGAATGGATGCTGTGCAGGAAAAGGAAATCTCTCAGTCACATCCTCATAGGATATCCAAGTCTTCCAAGCAGTTTCTTGCCTTTTCCACTGAACTGTGATGTGTTAGAACCAGTGAATGCGTGGAAAAAGGGAAGCGCCATTCATCTTCAACAGCCAAGATCTTGGAATATTCTGTTGATGTGATACTATCTGAACTTTTTCTTTTCCAAATGGCACCCACAGTTGAACAGCAGACTTCAGTTCAACCAGTTTGGACAACAACAACTGTGTCAACAGTGCTAACCATGATGTTTGTAGCACCTTCTTGCAAAGCACCTTTGACAAGAAGGCAGATTCTGGTATCCGCTACTTCCTGATCAGTGCACTGCATATCCTCTTCTTCACTTCCTACTGTGAACACAACCGCTGCTGGTTGGTAAGAGCTGCTAGACACACTCTGTTATGAATGCAAAGATTTCTTCTTTGTCCCTTTGATTCTTTTAGAAAAGAAGCTCCACAGCTGCTTTGTAGATGTCCCAAACACCACCTCTATGCGGTGCATGTTGCTGTCAGGAACAGTTGGTGATGCAAGTATTTGCAGTTTGGTAAGTTTTCCATGAGATATGGATGGTGCTAGTGAGAAAAGAATTGATTTAAATCACACCATCTGTTATGAATGCAATTCTTCAGGTCATTTCTTCTTTTTGTCCTTTTTTTCTTGATTCTTTTGAACTGACTCTGAAAA